AGTTAAAAAATTTACTAGAAAGCCTAATGACAGTAGAACCCAAGGTAGAACCAATATCAGACGTTATTTTTATTGGATTGCATGGATATTTCTTTCATTTTCACTAGAAAATTCAAAGATTTTATAATGTGTCTTAAAGACGTGTTTTCTCCTATGCATATTATTTAACAGAAAGAGTTTCCACATATAGTTATTATACCATCTAAGCAATCTGAACACTAGCTCACTCAGCATTTTAATAGATTAATGTTTCTGGGGAATTCAGTAATTCTGAAATTTGCTTCATAGTTTCTGGAGCTCATTGGTTAAATATATAATACATAATTTATTAAAACTTCCAACAAAAATTCTTTTATAAGGTGAACTATTCAATTTTCATATTTTAATACTTTGAGAATATTTATATTATCAAACTATTTTCATAAAATTAACAGTTCAAAAAACACATAAAGAATTATTTAAGCTCTCAAAATATCTAAGAAGTTTGTTCCCGTAAGCATGTTAAGAAAGCAATTTAGTTTGATACATAAAAAGAAAATGATACAGGAATTCAAATCAAAGTTAATAAATACTGACTGGTGATAAGTAGTTATTATTTTTATGTTAATATAGAAATATGTACACAAGCCCCTACTGGCCGAAAATTCTTTCAAATCTGAAAGGTCTGAGCTGCAAATGAGATTTATGTCCAGGATTATTCTAAATTTGCTCTCAATTTGAAATTCCTTAAAGTGGGATGGTTATTAAAAATTTATAACATACATTTTTGACTAACGATGCCTTGTCTACACACACAAATTAAAATTTGTGAACTATTTGATTTATTTGTGGTAATATTCTACGCAATTTGTGGAGCTGGGATAACTGTTTTGGAGACTTGAATTATCTAAATTATCTCTACATTCGATTGAAAACAATAACAGCAACAATTCACATAACTTTGTACTGGTAGAGTACCTTTTTTTGCTTGCAAGTCTACTAAATCTAAAACTTTTACACTGATCAAAAGGGTGCTTCCAAAATGCATTTTCCCCCATAGGTTTGAAAAATTCAATAGCAAAATTTACTTTAATCTCCTCCTCTTTGTGACTTACCCTTTGCAGTTGATCCCTGTTGTCCTTTTTGGAGTCCCTCAGTCTGTCAGGGAAGATAATGGACAGTATGGAGACCGGTGGCCAGAGAGAGCATGGAAACTGGTAGCCGGCTCCACAAAGCAAGGATGGCGAGGGAGCTAGAACATTATGATGTCTGTTGGCAACTCTGGCACGGCAGTGAAGTGGTGTCCCGAAATACAGAGTGGAGAGATACACCAGAGGCAAAGAAGGACTGTTCGCCATTGAAAAGACCTACCTTGGGTAGCAGTGGACTGTAGCGTGCAACTTGCCAAATTTTGCTATTTCAGGCTGGGTTTTTGTATAATGTGTGTGTGTGTGTGTGTGTGTGTTGTGTGTGTGTGTGTGAAGAGAGAGAGAGAGAGAGAAGAGAGAGGAGAGAGAGAGTATATGTACTCCTGCCAGTTTTTTTTTTTCTTTCTGTTTTGCTTTTTATCAACATGAACCTTGGTTCAAGAATTTATGGATTACCTGGTGTTCCGGCTTAATCACTGTGAAAAAGCAAGACAATCAAGATGATATTATTATCTCTTTATGACATACAATAGAAGCAATGGCTGACGAGAAAAAACAAATTAGCAATATAATTCAAATCCAAATAGGTTGAACTTTACTAATGAACTGAGGCAAATTGAGTGAAAAAGTAAAAAATAAATAAGCACTAATCTGTGTTAGCACTAGCCAGAATCATTCCAGTATGTAAATGAGCAAGCTATAAAAGCATATGATACAAAGCTAAAGTAAAAAATTTTAAGCCCTGAATTTAATTTCCCTTCTTATGACTGAATGTGTATATTATATATATTTTGAATAAAGGTATCTATTACTAATATGTAAGAAATGATCACCTCATAACATATATTTAGCATAGAACAATGCCATAGAAAGAAAAAGGTACAAGAATAAATTTAGATAGTCCTTGGTCATCATTGAATTTGTTATTTTATACTAATGCTGCTTCTGTTATTGTTTTGAAAAAAAAACTGACCTTTGTGTCAACAAGATATTCATTTGACTCTGAAGCACTTCAACACTGTTTATTTTTGTCATTTTTGTTAGCATCTTATAGTGTCCTTTGACTATCTTACAGTTTGTAAGTTTGTAAAAAAAATTAGTCTTAAAAAATGTAGCTTATTTATATTATAACATGCATGAGAAATGTATTAAATTTTCCACAGAAAAAAAGCCAAAGCCTGACCTGTTTTCCCTATTCATAGAAATCTTTTTTGACCAAGAAGTTAGTGGATAAAGTATTTCATTGATTAACATATTTGTGACTTTAGGTAATTTTACCATCTGCATCTCAAAAGATTTTTGATGCATATTCAAAAGGGTATTTCCTTTTCTTATATTGAAGAATATTTTGTGTATTTCTATAATGACCTTAAATGACATCTCCATCCTATGAAATAGAAAACCTTAACCTTTTTCTGTAATCAAGAGCAAAATATATTGAAATTATCTCCCTGCCTGCCAGAAATATTCATTGTGGGCCATTTACAGCAATGATCTCTACTTGAGGTGTGCATGAGAATTACCTGGAGAGCTTTTCTCTAAATATCATCTCTCCAGATACTACTGCAGTATGCTTAGGATATGTTCTAACTGTAAGTGTTTGAAAAATCTCCCAGGTCAGCCTGACTCAGATTTGGTTAAGAACCACTGTTAGAAGCACACTCGGGAATAGGATAATAAAAAACCTCACTTAGTGAAACTGCTATTTCTTAACAAATGTTTTTTGAACATCTATTAAGTGCAAGTCACTATACTAGTTACTGCCAGGGAATTAAAAAATATTTGACACCCAGCCCATGGATTGAAGAAGGGTATGCTTCTGCAGAGTGTGTGGTAGAATCCCAGGAACAAGATACTAGGTGAGCATGGATGTTCCATGAGAGGGTTATAATGTAATATTGTTTTTCAGAAAATAAGTTCACATCTGGGTGGGAGTATCCCAGATGCGTTCATGATAAAGTATGATATGTGATTATCTGAAAGGAGAGTGGGAATTTAAAAAGAAGGGATATTATGAACACACTGGGTGCAGGATTTTTGTTTGGCCACATGGTTCTGAGTAGGTTATAATGTATTAGAGGGAATTAATGAAGAAATACAGACATAAAAAAAGTAGATCAAGATCGTATGGCAGATGGTCTCTAATAACAGACTGGGTATTATATGGTGAATCCCATCTTTGGAATTTTTGAGAAATTTTGACCCTGAACCAGGGCATTTCAGCATAATCAGAAGTATGGGGGAAATGTCTGTAGAATGAATTGGAGTCAGAGAGAAACAGAAGCGCAATGACTAGTTGGATGGTTACAGAGGTCATTAGGATAGTAATGAAAACCTATGTTAGGTTGGTAGTGAAAGCACTAAAAATAATAATAAAAACCATTGCTATGAATGACAACGAAATTACACCTTGAATATGCATAGAACTTTCCAGTTTACAAAATACTTTTCCACATACTTTTTAGTTGAGCCTTGCAAAAATCCTGATGGGCATTCATAACTTAGTATCTTTCCAATTTTGTGGATAAATGAATTGAGGTTAAGTTTCTTGCCTGAGCTTACCTAGTTGATGGCTTCAGGATATGGAGCCTTCAGATTTCACATTTGTGAGCTTTTCATTGCTCCACATCAAATGAAGCTGGATACTAGGGCCGGTGTTAAAAGAGACGGATTCTATGGGTTTGTAATAACAACTGAATTGTTTTAGCTGAAGACTGAAGTGAAACACAATTCTAGGATTCTGAAAGTAGTTGACAAAGAAAAATGTGCACTATTGATGGAAATGGGGGCTAAAAAGTTGCTAGCTTGTCATCACTTTTGGGGTACAGGGGTGGATATGATGGACTTGGGTTTTGAATTGGTGAATTTAAAATTCTAATATTAGCTTTTGTTTAGTTTTGATGAGGAAAGTCCCACATGTAAATAAACCTAATGGATATTTGCAATCCAGACAATACTGGAATTTGTGATGACCTCATGCTAGAGGAACAAAAACATTTCAAATAATGCCAGTGTGATTCTAGTGTGCTTTTTTATGTAAGAGTCAGCTCACACTTCCTAACACACAAAAGGCCTGGATGTATTTCCCCTGTTCTCTTTATGTCTCCCAAGATTGCCTTACCAATCACTATACCTCTTTTTCTCTTTCACACATCCAATTCCTCTTTTTAAAATTATATAGCACAGTGAGAATGTGTGTATCAGGCTATATGAGTCTAGGGAGCTAAAGAGAAGCTCAAGTATAAATTAAAGGTATGAGTTGGGGAATCTTGTACTTATAAGATTTATTTGAAACAATAGATGTATATGCGGTTGCTCAATGAAAATTAGTGAGAAACTCCTGTCCTGCTGACATGAAGGTCTTACAACTTAAATGAAACTTCTGGATGTGAGTGATGAAGAGCTCTGATGGTGGTGATACTTGTCCTTTTTGCAGTAGGATGATTATTGGTATGCAGTGATCACCCACTACTTTCTCTGTGATTCTAAAACATCATGACAAGTTGAGATTTTGTGTTATCAACATGTTCATTATGTAGCTCTGTCGTGTTTGTTAATCACCTTTCAGTGTTCCAAATATACATAAAACAGGCATAGCACCAGTCGTCTTGGACAAAATACAGTTCGTTAAAATGTATTAAGCGAAAAAGCTCAGTGCAAACATGAACTTGCCAAGTACCTTTACTTTCTAATAAGTTTAATATTGTATTGGAGAGAGGGAGAGAGAGAATATGAATGGGACTTATACTATTGTGGTGTGGTCTTTTTGTTACATAGATTGATCTTACAAAATAGTCTATTAATCCAATTTCATGATCATTCTTTATAAGAGTATTAAATTTAATTTGATATTCTAACCAATTTTACATTTTTTCTTCTAAAGTCTCAAAAAAATCTCAATAGAGAATATTATTATTCTTCTTTTCCTTTTAGAGATAAGAAAATTAAGGCTTAGAATGTAGAAATGACTTGTCCATTTTACATGGTTTAGTTATTGGCTTTCAAACCAAATTGCTACTTATTCTACTTTGTCATAATTGTCCTAAGCACCACATTTACCTCTTATCATACTTTGCTTTTTAATGAAGAAAAACAGAACCATGACATTCAAAAGTCCATAGTCCTTTCTTTGAAATATGAATTCTTAACCTTTAGCATTTGATGCTGACTGTAGTAGATACAACCTGAAAGAATTAAAACAAAACAAAAGCATGTTTTAGCCCTTTCTTCATGTTGTAATCAAATCATGCTTGGGAAGGAAAATTTTATAATTGTTCATCTGGGCACAAACTAAGACACATAGAATATTGTCACTACCAATGAAAGTTCAGCTTTGATACATATTCAAATATATTTCAGTGCTGGTTTTATTTATTTATTTTTTAATGTTTGACTGTATGACTGACACAGTCCTTTCTAGTATGAGTAAGAATTGAATTCCCCAAATAATATTTTATGTCCTGAAGTTTGATTTTCTGCTCTCCTCCCTCAAGAATTCCTACTCTGTTTTTAAAATTTCAATTCTGGAGTTCAGCTATGATGTTCTTAGTTCCAGCCTGCTTGTGTGCATAGCTTTGGATACTCATAATTTTTAATTTATGACAACATATGAAAGTTTAAGAGGGAAAATAAAGCCTTAAAATAGTTTTATTTGAAATATACAAGTAATTATATATTTGAATGATCTGAGTAACTGCCTCAATTTTCCACATCATTACAAATGGAAGCCATAACTTTTGGGCGGCATAAGATATTTCAAAATATTTTGAATAATGTCTATATTACAAGTGAAACCTGATAATAGTCTACGTTAAGATTAATTCTACCAAAAATTAGAGCATTTTAATATAAAGCTAACAAACCGTAAAATCTACATCTTTGGGATTTCACTGGATTAGATATCATCAAAGAATATCTGATTGAGTAAGCCGTTCTCTTCCATTTTTCTTATTTATTCCGTGTATATATTTAAATGGATTGAAAATAATATTCGGCATTAAATTTCTAGTGGAGGAACTATTCAGGAACTGCTTTCTGACTAGTAAATTAGGTCTTAATGGAAGTTGAGGTTTTTTTAGTATCATAATTCTTCTATGATTAATATTTATGACACAATGTTCCTTAAGATTGTCAAAATAATATATGGTTTTGGACTTTCAGGTAAATTATATATTTAGTTAAATATAAATGGTATATAGTAGTTACCATTTTATATGCTGTGCTACATAGTACTGCAGAATTATTCAGACAACTTTTTCTTTCAGAAACCAAATATTTTAAATTTCCATATTGATGTATACTTGAAATAAATATTATAAACATGAAGAAATGAGTATTCATAGGTTGTACTACCTTTGTTGCTTGTTTTGCTAATATTATTCTATGATTATAACTCTAGGATAGAGATGTAAACTTGTTAAGTTATAGTTTTGGAGTCACATTTGTGTTTACATAGACAGAACAAAATAGATATAACAAACAAGGGAAGAAATTTCTGATGTGCCATTTTTCCTATGGTTTATGTTTTTGAAAGTGAATTCACAAGTGGAAGTTTTATTTAGATCTATAGAAAAATGTATTTATAGTTAAGTCTTCAGACATCACAATGCCTTTTTGAAGTCATTATTATCTAAACATTTCCTTACTATTATTTTTCCTAAAGGTATAGAATAAGATATTACATATATAAAAAGAGTCTACCATATCTACTGTATCTACTTTAGAGCACAGCTAACTGTGAATATATTAAGGCATAGTCTAAATGAATCAAGCCATTAGAATACATACATTATAAATTTTAAATTTAATCTCTTAAATTAATTTTAAGACATATTGAAATTAGGTTATTTTTATGAAAATACTTTTCCTCAAAGGACCCAAAGCAAATTTTTGATAGTCCCTAATTAATCATTTCAACTTTTTTTGAAATTAATAGGAAAATATATTTTGTAGTTTTGAAGAGTTAAAAAATTTACTAGAAAGCCTAATGACAGTAGAACCCCAAGGTAGAACCAATATCCAGACGTTATTTTTATTGGATTGCATGGATATTTCTTTCATTTTAACTAGAAAATTCAAAGATTTTTATAATGTGTCTTAAAGACGTGTTTCCTACTATGCATATTATTTAACAGAAAGAGTTTCCACATATAGTTATTATACCATCTAAGCAATCTGAACACTAGCTCACTCAGCATTTTTAATAGATTTAATGTTTCTGGGGAATTCAGTAATTCTGAAATTTTGCTTCATAGTTTCATGGAGTTTCATTTGGTTAAAATATATATACATAATTTATTAAAACTTCCAACAAAAATTATTTTATAAGGTGAACTATTCAATTTTCATATTTTAATACTTTGAGAATATTTATATTATCAAAACTATTTTCATAAAATTAACAGTTCAAAAAACACATAAGGAATTATTTAAGCCTCTCAAAATATCTAAGAAGTTTGTTTCCCCGTAAGCAGTTTAAGAAAGCAATTTTAAGTTTTGATACATAAAAAGAAAATGATACAGGAATTCAAATCAAAGTTAATAAATACTGACTGGTGATAAGTAGTTATTATTTTTATGTTAATATAAAAATATGTACACAAGCCCCTACTGGCTGAAAATTCTTTCAAATCTGAAAGGTCTGAGCTGCCAAATGAGATTTATGTCCAGGATTATTCTAAATTTGCTCTCAATTTGAAATTCCCTTAAAGTGGGATGGTTATTTAAAAATTTATAACATACATTTTTGACTAACGATGCCTTGTCTACACCACAAAATAAAATTAAAATTTGTGAACTATTTGATTTATTTGTGGTAAATATTCTAGGCAATTTGGTGGGAACTGGGATAACTGTTTTGGAGACTTGAATTATCTAAATTATCTCTACATTCTGATTGAAAACAATAACAGCAACAATTCACATAACTTTGTACTGGGTAGAGGTACATTTTTTTGGCTTGCAAGTCTACTAAATCTAAAACTTTTGACACTGATCAAAGGGTGCTCTCCAAAATGCATTTTCCCCCATAGGTTTGAAAGAATTTAATAGCAAATTTACTTTAATCTCCTCCTCTTTGTGACTTACCCTTTGCAGTTGATCCCTGTTGTCCTTTTTGGAGTCCCTCAGTCTGTCAGGAAGATAATGGACAGTATGGAGACCGGTGGCCAGAGAGAGCATGGAAACTGGTAACCGGCTCCACAAGCAAGGATGGCGAGGGAGCTAGAACACTTATGATGTCTGTTGGCAACTCTGGCACGGCAGTGGGAAGTGGTGTCCCGAAATACAGAGTGGAGAGGATACACCAGAGGCAAAGAAGGGACTGTTCGCCATTGAAAAGACCCTACCCTTGGGTAGCAGTGGACTGTAGCGTGCAACTTGCCAACTTTTGCTATTTCAGGCTGGGGTTTTTGTATAAATGTGTGTGTGTGTGTGTGTGTGTGTGTGTGTGTGTGTGTGTATGAGAGAGAGAGAGAGAGAGAAAGAGAGAGAGAGAGAGTATATGTTACTCCTGCCAGGTTTTTATTTTTTTTTCTTTCTGTTTTGTGCTTTCTTATCAAAACATGAACCTTGGTTCAAGAATTTATGGATTACCTGTGTTCCGGGCTTAATCACTGTGAAAAAGCAAGACAAATCAAGATGATATTATTATCTCTTTATGCCATACAATAGAAGCAAATGGCTGACGGAGAAAAAACAAAGTTAGCAATATAATATCAAATCCAAATAGGTTGAACTTTACCTAATGAACTGAGGCAAATTTGAGTGAAAAAAGTAAAAAATAAATAAGCACTAATCTGTGTTTAGCACTAGCCCAGAATCATTCCAGTATGTAAATGAGCAAGCTATAAAAGCATATGATACAAAGCTAAAGTAAAAATTTTAAGCCCTGAATTTAATTTCCCTTCTTATGACTGAAGTGTATATATATATATTTATTCTTAGATAAAGGTATCTATTATAATATGTAAGAAATGATCACCTCAAATAACATATATTTAGCCATAGAACAATGCCATAGAAAGAAAAAGGTACAAGAATAGAATTTAGTAGTCCTTTGGTCATCATTGAATTTGTATTATTATATGCTGCTTCTGTTATTTTGTTTTGTTATCTAATAGTAATTATAATTATTAATTATTATTAGTATGAAAATTCAAATCATTGGCTTATAGTTTAAACTTTTAAAACAGAGTGCTGAATCACATACTTTCATTTCTAAGATTAATGTTCAAGCTGAAAACTAGAATTCAATCACATAGAGAAAAAGTATGTAACATGAATAACATAAATATTAAAAATTCATGAAATTGGAAAAGGTTCCAACTTTATATATTATCTCAGTAAATTCTAATTTATGTAATCCTAGATAAGTATCCACATGGTTAGCTGGTTAAAGAAACCACATTATACCTTTTATGAATTAAGTTACTTTTGTGACACTATTGCTAGGTAAAAGTTATTTATGTCAAGAATTTTTATCTTAATATGATATATTTTTTATTTGATTAGGCAAATTTTAATTTGAATGGATGGCTTTTACTCAACAGTATTCTAGTGCAATAAGTTTATTGAAGTGCTAGAAAAAGAAATAAGGCTAATTTTATATTATAAAGTTAGGCTTTATGTGGAGTTTAATTATGTCTAATAGATACACATGCATTTAATAATCTAACATTATAAATACACATTAAAATATGTCTGTATATGTTTTTTAAAAAAATTTGGAATATTTCAGTAGTCATACAATTTTGAATTTCATTTAAATGTGATGATTCATCATGTTAATATCTCCTTAACTATGGCATATATCATCTTATACCAATGTAAATCACATTAAATATTATCTTCATTTTAGAAAATGTGATTTGTCCAAGCTTTGTGTGAATGATAAATAAGTGAAAATCAATAAATAAACAAATTATTCAATAATCATAATAGGTGAATAAAATACTTAATTTATTATGTAGCTATTATATTATGTTTTATTATTTATATAATGATACATATATCTCTAAACCCAAAAGGACAATAGGATTTATTATATATATATATATGAAAAGATATATGTAGCTTTTAAAATTTCTATCTGTATAAGAAATAGATTAAGAAACAGGGGTGGGTAAGTCTGATAAAATTAGCCTATTTCTCCTGCTGAACTCTTAACATATGAGAGTGATTGTATCTGTCTATTTGCCTCTTGGAAGCCCAGAAGTATTATTGTAATCTACCTGGGATCAAAGGAAATGTAAACCTCTGGAAATTATTTAAAATGTCAACAAAGCTGGAGACAAATTATCAGTTCTACATTGAATACAGTCATATATTTCTTATATACAATTTCCACTAGTAAAACATAAACCAAGACTTTATGAAGAAAACGTGTACTTTTGTCAGAATGTGCTTATAATCTGTGTTCAGAATCATGCTAGTTCTGCATATTTAGACACAGACCAGCATAATATAGGAATACTGAAAGGTCATATTTCTAAACTGTTTAAGAAACTAGTTTCTCCATTAGGATTTGAGGAAGTTATAAGGAAAAAAAAATACTTGATGTTATTGACATTTTAGCTACCTTCTTTAACAATCAGTGAAATTTGATATTATCTTGTAAAAAAAAATCATTCTTAGATGTTTCAAAATGTGTCAAAGTCAAATGCTTATGACCAGAAGAAAAGCAAAGAAAACTAGCAAAATCAGGTACAGCTGATACATTGTTTTCTGGACCTATGAAGATGACTTTTTGTGGTGGTAGGGAGAAGCTACAAGTCACATGGTGGGTGTATCTTACTTGTAAACATGGAATTAGTGGCTTGATTCCAGTCACCTCTGGAAAAACCCACTGCTCTCCTCCCACAACTACAGGTTTAAGCAGTAAAAATGTCTGCAACCTATGTATTTAACCTATGTTAACCTATGTATTTAATTAGGGTCGCTTCAATTTAAAAGGTCTACCTTTTCAAACTCTTCCATTGTTAAACTCTTGCTGTCAAAAATCTTGCTATGCTTGCTAAGACTGGAACAGATTTGGCAAGACAGGGAAACATGAGAAATCACTACATTAAAGTACAAATGGAAGACAATAAAAATGAGGCCATTATTCCCATAAGGAAGATCATGCCAATTTTTGTTTTAAAATCTTTTCAGCATCCAAATTAGAGGAAATTGTTTTTCATGCAAAATTTGTTTACAGATCCTCATTTGAGCTATCCTTTAATACAGACCTGAAACATATCACACTCTGGTGTATTCCAGAGGAGAGGTGTGCCTCATGAATTAAACATTCTTACACCAGAAGGAACAAGTCACGTGTGTGTAACTCCAAAATACCACAGTACTGCATACATCAATTCATAAGCCTATTACATCTTTACAAGCTATTTTGATTAAAGCTTCTTTATTGACTATATGTATAAGTGTCTGTAACCATATTCTTAATAATTAGATTATATCCTAGTATCTTTTTAAAGAAATTAAACATCTTTTGCAGAAAGAATCAAATGAATTTTCTGGGCTTATTTTTGACATAGAAAGAAAGTAGGCATTACTTCCAGTTTTTAGGTTAAAACATAAGGACCCTGAGGTTGCCTGATGAACTCAAGACCACATGGTGGTAGAGAAAGGGATGAGATAGATTCAATATGTATTTGCCATTTGTCCATATTATGTGCAAAACGGGTTAAATGACAGGAAAATAAGCATCATCTATTGTGCCCAAGGCAGGTTAGCCTTCGGGAAAATCATTGAAAGTGCCAACAAAAGGCAATATTCTGTTTCTCTTTTTTCTATGCTTTTGTTGTGATTATGTGGGTGCATTTCTATGGGAAGGTAACGGTTGTCTGCATGGCTCTCAGAGTTGTTTTAAGGAGACAGGGTTACTATGATTGGCACTGTTGCCATTCTTTTGGGCTGAATATAATATATGTGAAGCAAAGTTGTTAATATTACTGGCAAGGTAAGATCACAGTATGACTATGATACTAACCTAAGTATATTTGCAACATTGGGCCATGCCCATGGTACTGAGGTAAATGCTGGGAATACTGAGCTGAATTTACCATTTTTCTTACCTTAAAGTATGATATAGGTGAAGAGAGGAAATATATAAGTAGACAGGTTTAATACAGTGTAGGAACTGTGAGGATAGAGAGCTACTGTTTGATCTTTTCTTGAGAGCAAACAAGGTCATGAAGCAGGAAAGGCTTCATGGAGGATGTAATAGCCAAGTTGTAAAGAAATAGATGAGTGATATAGGGAAGGAATATGTCAGAAGTAGGGGAGGATGGACAAGTTTGTATATAGGGACTGTCCTACATGTATAGGCCATGTATACATTTCAAGTATAAATGTGACTATGCATAATAACATTTTTCCACTATTAATGGAACATAGAAATGATTGTCATATACAGATTTTATTCAACCATTTAATCATTTTACTCAAACAAGGGTTTTTTTTAGAGCCAAATTGCTAGCTATAGTAGTAATCAATTTGCTGTAAATATCCCTTGAATTTATACCCTCAGACTTTAAATAACACATTTTCCTTTTTGAAAGTTTTGGGGAAAATTATGAGTATAAACAGACGCAAACAAGATAAATGACACTGAAGTAAACTTCATTTTGTGAATGCAGTCAGAAAGCTTGGGATTTAGAACATAGAATAATTATTTTAGTTACAATTAAATTAACAGGAAATAGCAAAACTCTCAACAGTATTATTGAATCACAAGGAAATCATTGGATGTGATTTATTATCAAAGTTTTTTCCATGATATTTCTCTACATAGAATCATTTCACTATTACAGTATTGAACATCATGAACAGATAAAATATTAAAGCAAATTAAATTTTCTTTTAATCTTAGAATCTAGAATAGTTGATGATAGGGAAAAAGATAATTATAAGAATAAATCAGTGAAAGCTACCTTTAATATTCCCTTTAAAGTACTTATCTCTGATTTAATATATAATATTTGAATTTTGACAGGTTATAAAGGTTGGAAATTATAAAAATATCCATATACTCAAAGAGATCTATAACAAAATTGACCTGAGAATCTATCTACTATCTACCCAGATTCTTAAGATTTATTCTTGTAACAAAGCATTTTCTATCTAGGGTTGGCTATTTTATTGTTATCTCTACTTACTGCCTTATGTTTATGACTTTTGGTGAATCCTCATTTCTGGATCATCTGTTTCTCTGGATGCTGAATGAATATAATCATGTAGTTTTCTTTGTCTCACACAATTGTTGCCTTGGAGGCCACAATGCAATTTGTGACTCAATACACTCTCTTCTCTACAACATGGATAGCATTGCATTTATAGCGCATGCAAATTCAGTGTTTTATTCAAAGTAATCATTTGAACAAGATTTAGAATGGGAAGGGAGCAAGTATTTTATTCATCATTTCATTTATTTATGCCCTATCTTATTCTGAAAAGGATCCAAGGCAGCTTGTAGGGATGCATGTAAGACAATAAACTAAACAGTGTGAAGAAATTGAAGCATAGGAATAATAAGGGTGAGAAGTCTGCCAAGGACAGCACATCACGAAGACATTATCTTTCTAGAGATGGGCCACACACATTTGGCTGTAAGCTCTCTAACAAATAATGCAGAGGAGAAAGAAAGCTCTCTCCCTTTCATGATAAGCAGAGTCATTTCAGAACAGGAAGTCCAAGTCAGCAGCACAGAAACACATATTCCTTATATTGATACCAAAGAGAATATTCTAGACCTGTTGTTCATTACTCAGTTCTGTAGAGAGTAACATATTTAACAAGAACAAAGCAGAACAAATATCAAAGAACTGCTACTTAGAAAGTTACCCCATGACTTCAGGATGGGCATGTCAGTATGTAGTTTGATAAATCCAACCATTTCAGCGGGGTCCAGATTTGCCACTCCTCAGACTGGCTTTATCCAGATGGATGTAGAACATGTCCTTGAGATTTGATTAAGCCGTTGGATTTACTTGAGACTGGTAAATATCACTTCTCTCTACCAAGTTTTTGATAAGCATTATGTGGTAGGAGTTTAGTATTAACAATTAAGAACTGAACATTAGATTTAGACAATTAACCAAGCAGGGGTAAGATGAGCACAATCAGAAAACGACCATCAGAGCTTAAATGATCCAGGCATTTTTTTTAAGGCCACTCTGTTAGGTTCCCACCACTGATGTAGTGAGCTCTGGTTCTAAAAGCCTTGTCCACACCTTTCAACATCAAAGTATTGTGTTTGAAGTTCTCTAATAGAACCTTTTATCTCAGTGATTATTACCTGAGATGTGTGAAACTTGAATAGCAGTGGAGGAGGGTGGATTCCAAACAGAATAGTAAGAAATATCAGGCGTATGAGCTTGTACTTCTAAAGGTCAAAGAGAATTATTTCATTTGTTCTGATTAAACCAATGTCACCAGATTTCATAACTTTCCCTGTATAACTTGAAAGAGTGAGATTGAGGGTTTTGGGTTCATAAATATGAATATATCACAATCGACAATCTTCTCTGCTTTTTCCATATTCATGGATGTAAATCTACTTCTGAAAGTTAAATCTATAAGTGGTCAAAGTGATACTAGTATAAAGAGTAATATCCCATATAAAATATGGTGATGTACGTACAAGATTTTTTAATAAGGGAGACCTGGGAGACTGAATATCTAAATGAAATATACCTCAGGTAAGTTTTTAAAAACATTTCTTACTGCAAAAACTCTACTTAAGTTAAAGGAAGCTAGCATTTTTTTCTCATGCAAATCCCATCTTTAGAAATCAGTATTTTGGCTAGTTAAGCTCAACTTGTTTGTTGCTTGTTACTGGTAACCAGGTCCATGGAAAATTCATGGATTTTAGGTATTCACAGCTAAACATTAAACTAGATGGGGGTTTGGAGAAATACCCATTTTTGTGATAATGAACAGCTTACATTTGCAAAATGAATGGACCAAGCCTAAATTATGTGATACAAATAGCTATATCTGACATCCTTTATGTTTATGATACTACTTTAGCTCCTACAATCTATATCTTCTTCCTCTAACACATATGTTTCACCATTGCACTAAATACTAGCATTCTTGCACTTCTTAGCAGTATGTGTTCAACTTAGTGTTTGCCATTAAATTAACTCAGAGGAGTAGAATATAAGTCTGCTCTAAATTGCCGAATTTTTAAAGAAATGCTTTTTGTAGTTGTATAGGTCAACCTAAGTAATCACATTGATTAGTGAGAACTGATACATATTGATTGACTCAATCCCTACCCCCCCTCACCTACAATGAGAAGGCAGTGATGATTGCTTTAAGGTGAAGTAATTAAGAATTAGCATGTTGTTGGTTTTAACAAAATACTTTTTAACTATTATTATTGAAAACAAAAGGCTTGGTGACTATTTTCCTTGTGAACATGTCATACCCCTTTAAAAATAGCATCCTATTATATTTTGGCCATAAGAAAATTTGAACATTTTTGTATATTATATTTGTGATTATAGATATGGATAATAATACATTTCGAGTGTCTCCCATTTTCATACTAATAAATAATTAATCATTTGGATAGATAGACAATGTAATGTTTTTTGAGACATGAATTATTAAAACTAATATGCTTGTTTGAAATGTTAATATTGATGAGAAATTAAATATTTGAATATTAATAAAATGTAATCATTGAGTATACATGATTTTGGATTAAAGAACAATTCAATTAGGTATTAGCCCTTTAAAATATAAGTATGTTCATAATAATATAAAGCATTTCTTTCATAATGATTAAACTATACCTTTCTAAAAAGCTTTAAAATATAATTGGCAAATATATGTGAGCTAATACTATATACTTTTTCCTCTTCGTTTTAGTCATGATTTTATTGGAGAATTTACAACAAGCTATAGGGAGCTGTCTAGAGGGCAGTCACAGTTCAATGTATATGAGGTAAGAGGCATTTTATTTTACCATTATTTTCCTCTGGAATAAGTAAATTTATGCTTTAAAAATATGGATTTTGCAAAAGATAATTGCTAAAGGTTGACTGAGTACCAATATGTGTCAGAACATTTAAAGTTATTGAGCAGACTTGTTTCTTAGATTAAATGATATTATTTTTCTTCAAGTCACATGGTCTTTTAAATCTGTTTTGAGAGACTTTTAAATTCTTGCTTATAAAACAATTTCTTATTTTTTAAAAAATTCAATATAGGTACAAATTCATTGTTTCCTAAGCTTCCGCTTTTATGTTTTGCCTTCCTACCAACCTCCTCCCGAATCTCTCCTAATAAAAATGGGAAAATAGCTATGTTAGTTGTGTCAATATAGTGTTAGAAAATGAGCTGTAGCCTGCATAGCATATCTGAGCAGCTTCGCTGTTATTTAGGAGGGGACAAGGGAATGACAAGGTCATATGCAGTCATTAAAGAAATCAAAGTTATTAAAGCAAAGGCATTGGGCGTATTTCTAGATTAAACCCCTTGCTAGTTAAACACTAGATATGTGTTGAGCATATGGTATGTTTAACATTGTTAATCCTTGAGCTATGTTATCCATACATTCCCTATAATTTTAAAAGTCAATATATGTGGACAGCAAAGGGGAATATCTCAGTATTTAATTAATAATGGTTCTGCCAGGTTGACACTTAAAATCTCTTTTAAGTTGAGAATAGAAAAGTCTCCTTGTACAACCTTTTTACTGAGCTAAAGCAATTATATTTCATTCATTAACTTCAGAAAAATTTCTATCAAGTGGTTTCTATCTTCTATGTTTTGTTAGGCCCTGGGAATACAGAGATGAATAAAAATGAATAAAAATGTCTAGCAGGAGAGCCAAACATAAAATATGTTTAGAGTAGATCAATATGTGTTCTATAGAGTAGTATACTTAAGTGGACTATGAAATTATTACACGGGAGCCAAACTTAGCCCCCAAATGTTACTCAGTCAAATACAAAGATGGAGTAATGGATGAATCTCTTCTATCTGAATCTTTCAAGGAAAGAATATTAAGGCTCTAAACAGGCAATGAAAGTAATACAAATACAGATTATAATTTGTAAATGCCCGTTTTATCTGCCTAACCTCAAGGCTGAGAAGGAACAACACATGCTCACCAGTTCTCCTTGTACTTTGGGGTTATCTACTGCTAGTCACCACGTAACCCTCCAGAGATCAACCACTTCGAGTTTCTTTAGCTTTTATAAGGTTTTCTGATCTTTGGTGTCAGTCAGTCCCCATTCTCTCTTGTCCAGCAAAGCTTGCTTAATGAGAGGACTGGTGCCACATCTGATGGGTTGAAAAAGAAGCTTAAAAAATGATTGTTTACCCTGGAAGGCCATAACTTCAAATATAAATTGTTTTCTTATTACACATATTATCAATAGAAGAGATCAGTCTGAAGAAAATCTGTCAGACCATTATGAATTATGTATGAGTAGTTTTGGGATTTGTGTGGATAGCCGTTGGTCCAATACATTAGAAACTTCATTTTCTATACTCGTGTAAGGGATTAAGTTTTGCAAGGACAACCAAGGAAATTTTCAGCCATTATTTCTTCAAATAATTCTTTATGACTCCCTCCCCTTTTTGATACTATGTTGTTATGCTTGATGGTGTCCCATAGCTCTCTTAGACTCTGTTCATTTCTTTTATTTTTTTTCATTTTTGTTCCCCAAACGGGAAAATCTCAGCTAAGATATCTTCAAGATTACTGATTATTTCTTCTGCCAGATTAAATATTCTGTTGCACCCTCTATTGAATTTTTCATTTCAGTTGTACTTTCCACTTTGAGAATTTCTATTTCTATTTTTTTTTATCATTTTTATCTATTTGTTGATATTTTCTATTTGGTAAAACATTGTTTCAAACTTTAATTCTTTATACGTGTATTCCTTTTTTTAACATATCTATAATAGCTGATTTAAAGACTTTACCTAATAAATCCTTTATCTGTCAGTCCCCAGGGACAATTTCTATTGACTACTTTTGGGGCACAGTTTCCTGTTTCTTTGCATGCCTTGTGTTTTTTTATTGTCAAATGCTGGAAATTTTAAATAATATAATGTAGAAGCACTGGAAAGCAGATTCCCCACCTTCTCCAGGGTTTGCATTTGCTGCTATTTATTTAGTGATTTTCTTGGGCTAATTCTATAAAATCTGTGTTGTTTGTTGTGTGAGTCACTAAAGTCTTTGCTTGGTTAGTTTAATGATCAGCAGATGATTTGACACAGATTTGTGTACTTTGGGGCACTCCTTATATAAACAGTATAAAACTTTGCCTTAGCTTTCACTTGCTATTGGAGCAAAGACTTGAGACTAGCCAGAGATGGAAGATTAAGGCTTCCTTAAGTCTTTCCTGGACATGTGTACAGCCCATCATAAGTGCATGATCCTCCAGATTCCCAGCAATATGCCAGATCTTTTAAAAGCCCCCTATTAGATATCTCATTCCCCACATTCGTTTTTGTTTTGGGGTTAGCCTATTACTTGCCCAAAATTATATTATCACCTCCAGCACATATGGCGTTAAACAATTGCCACTGATTGTTTTCAACAAATGCCCTGGAAATAGGGCTTTTCCCACTGAGCAAGCTTTGAGTCAATGAAATAATGACAAGCCCAAGACCCATCAATAGGGCTTTTCAAGGGAGCTTCCAAACAAGTCAATTAGTGAAAATTCTCTAGTGAAAATTCTCTCTCTGACATTTGTTTAAAGTTACACTTTGTTTTTAATTGATACCCATTAATATTAATTATTCATATTAATTGTATATATTAATGGAGTACAGTGTGATATTTCCATACATATATATTAATATATTATATAGTGATCAAATCAGGGTAATTAGAGTATTAATCACCTCACACACTTTTTTGATGAATTCCATAGCCATTCTGTTCCCTGCAGTGGCTTTTAGATTGCTGGTTTTCACCACTACTGTGGTTACAAGGCTGCTGCTTTCATTGCTGCTACAAATATGGGAAAAGCGGGACCAGAATAAAGCAAATTAAAATGCCACAGTGAGAGTCACCCATTTTCTAGAATGAATGATCATCAAGATTGTTTTAAGCTTTTGATTAATTTCTAAATTGATGAAAAAAATTCAATTTGACAATTTTTGCTAGTGTTCTCATTACATTTATAGAGAACTAAATTTCAGAAATCCATACTCTATCATTCTTAAAGTGCTTCCCTAGTCTTTTATTTAGCTTTATTAGTGATAAATGCTATTGTACTTATATATTATATAATTTTATTATTATTCTCTCAGATACATTATTCATGATTAAAATGATCCTATGCAATGAAATGACAAATTTTTATGTAAATTAATTTAAAATCAAATAATCTGATATAATTCCTGTGTAACAATAAAGTTTTTATGTGCTGAAAGCAAAAATAAATTAATATGAACTGAAAAATGATCATGAAATTCGACTCCAAATTCACTCCTAAAATTCAGGGAAAACCTTCTCTTCTAAACAATAAATGTAATGCTAGATGATTTTTGGATAGAAAAATGCTGAAATACAATTTATCAGGAAAAATATATTACTGAACTTACTATTTAACTTTTGATTGAATTCATTTTATTATCTGATTTCCTACCAGTATAGTGTTTCTCCAGTAATCTTGAGGAACTGAGTAATTCCTCAAATCTCAAGATCAAACCTTACCTTTCTCCCCCAAACCACCTTCTCCATATTTAATGGCATAATCACTGAATCATTTACTTAGTGGGAAAAATGTGCCACCTTGCTGATGATGCCTGACATCCTGAGTGCTGTGTGTTTTCCTGTAGAATGTGTGTAGTCAGGATTTTTTTAAATAAATAATAAAATCAATATGTGGAATGAATGAATAGATGAGTCAGTTTCACCTTTGTTTTTTTCTTAAACCTGCCAAATTCAGTTTGCTCTATTTTCTGAACTTCTTTTGTGAGCCATTTTCAATGGTACTGCCTTATTGAATGCTTTATTACTCCTCACATGGATGATTTACAATAGGACCCTACCTGTTGCCTCCCATTTCTTTCCTTACAACTCTATCCTATAGACTGATTTTATTCTCCCATTTAAACATCAGTTGACTAACACCCAAATCTCCTAGCCTAGTATTAAGGATCTCCTTAGCAGCTCAGCTCACTTTCTCAGATTCAGTTTTAATCTCTTTGTATGCGTTCTCTGCTCCAGTCCACCTGGGTCAGTTCCTTTTTCCTCTTTCTAGAATCTTGTATTTGTTTATTTCTTTTTATTGGAGCCCTAGTTTAAATTAATAAATTCTAGTTCAGATAATATCTATCCATAAATTCTTCTATCTTTTTTTCCCTATAAAATGTTTTCTCCATATTTTGAATTGAGATGATCTGAAGGATTCTCTCTTAAGGCACTTATGTATATATTTATCCTCTTAGATTAACAGGTCTTATTCATCTTAATATTCCCTATATCCCCTAGTGTCTCGTGCAATACAGAAGTGCAATTATATTTCCTCATGGAACAAATAGTCAAAAATTTAGTCTTATGTCCACAAACCAGACCTTTGCCAATTATTAAGTAGCATGAGTACTGGTGGAAATTATTACAATTATAAAGCAATAGCTAGGTCAATAGATCTCTTAAATATCACACATTAGGTGATTTACGGTATAGTTTATTTAATCTAATAAAATATCACTTGAATATACTTTTCTTTAGCAACCTCTAATTTTTCTATAAAGCAATTATTATTATTTAGAACCTTGGATATTAAAGGTCTCTGTCATGTCAAGATGATGCAGATGGTTAAAATTAATTAATGCATAAAGTTGAGAAGAATATTACTTTCAAAAGTTTTTAAAAAGATGGTTATTATTAACTTTTGCAGAGAACTTTCAGCCAAATGACTGTCCCAGTGTCAACTGAAGGCATTTCTAAATGAATACATGCATAAGAAATGAAGGCAGCATGCTGAACTACACAATTAAAAAAAAATTGGTATAAAAAAAACCTTAACACATTTTAATTGTTTTATCTGCTTTTTAAGGTGGTGAATCCCAAAAAGAAAGGAAAAAAGGAAAAATATACTAATTCTGGAACAGTAAGTGAAATTTCTCATTATTCATTAAAGATTTAAATTAATGAATAACAGTATATTTTTATATGTATAAAATATATCAGACTTCAAGCAACTGAAAACGGAGAGATGTTTCACTTAAGATTTTAGTATGAAGGTATATAATAGAAAAATTAACTTCCTAGTGGAGTGATTGTAATGGAGAATACCTTATAGGAAGAAGTGGCTTGGCTTCCTGCAGGTTATCCTTGGGCTTGTAAGGCTTCCGGGGGAAGCTGAAGTTTTGTTAAGATTTCTTCATTCAGTGGAATCAGAGTGCAGAGAATTGGGCAGACATGAAAAATTTAAGAAATACTAAACTCTTTATACGCTACACTTAACTATAAAGATTCATTTTATGGGATGAGAAAGTGCTCATTTATAGTGCATTAAAATTGACAACTCTGTGGAAATGATGGACCAAATCAGTACAGGAGGATACAAAGATGTAAGTGTCTAAAATTATAAAAAAAAATCGATGTCATTCTCTTTTGAGAAAAAATATGCTGAAAAGAGTTTTCCTAAGATTAGCTGTTCTTAGGGAAAGCAAAATCTAAGTTTTCTTCAAGTTTTTTTTAAAGATTTCTATAAAGCAAGACGCTTAAAATATTAGATGTCCTCATTACAGGACCAAGACAAAAACACACATCTCTTCTTCTGCGGCTTAGCTCACTGATTTTGGTTTTTTAGTTTTAACCATTTTCCCACTCCCTTTCATCTTTCCTTTTATCTAAAATGGGAAGTAACACAGTGTCCTTGAACATAATTTTCATGCTATTCTTCAAAGGAAGTAAACTGATCATAGAAAGGAGTTAATTTTTTTTTTTTTGGTCCCTTTTCTTCAGATAATTTGAAATGTAAGAACAATCAGTCCTAGCAGATTTTAATAAAGCATAATGTCTTTAGAGAATTTCAGAATGCTAGGAAATATGATTTCCTCTGTAATAGCTAGGAGTCCATTTGGGGTTATAACCAGTACTAGCAGGTAATTCTCTTTTTTTTTTTTCCCTTCAGGTAACTTTACTGTCTTTTTTGGTAGAAACAGAAGTTTCATTCCTTGACTACATTAAAGGAGGGTAAGTCATTCTTTGAATTTGTTTCATTGCTTAAACATTTCTTTGAATGGGTTCTCATTGTCAGTAAATCATAATGCAGAAATGAGTGGTGTATAGTCATTTAGTTGCCCTCACGGCTTCCAGGCAAGAACACATTTCAGGAAAAAAAAAAAAAAAAAATGATGGTTGTAACCATTCTTGAAATTTTTCAAAGTCCAGATAGATCCTGCGTTGGAAATTTTTATATCCTTGTAATTAGGAAAGTCTTTTCAATTTTGTTCCTTTTTTTAATTTTATTTTTTTATTTCAGCATATATATGGGGGTACAAATGTTAAGGTTACGTACATTGCTCTTGCTCTCCCTCCCCCCTTGAGTCAGAGCTTCAAGTGTGTCCATCCCCCAGACGGTGTGCATATTACGGGCACTTACTATGTGTGTATATATATACCCATCCCCTCTAGCCCCCTCCCACTTGCCCGACACCTGATAAATGTTTGTTTTTTTTTTAACATTTTGGTTACATTTTATATCTTTGCCTCTCCCTAGCAAGGGTTAGAGGTATGTCCTTTCTCTCCACAATGCTCACCACGTTCCTCAGAATTTTGTTCCTTTCTTTAACCTAGTTGTTTCTGTTTTTAACCTGACCAAGCACCCCTAGAAATTGAAAACAAGCATTCATTCTCACAGTATAAAATGTCCACCTAGTTTATTTGCCTTTACCTTGCAATTACAATATACAGCAACAATTGAGATACCACTCATGTAAACTTCCTAATTATGAAAATAACAAATCATATCAGATTGAAATGGAGAACAACAATATTAAAATTACTGTAGAAATAAGTAGCTACAAAAATCTAAATATCTCAGCAAATTATTTTTACTTTTCTTGATAGATTTCCTACAGATATTATTATTATTTTTTTTACCTGTTCTAGACATTGTAAGCCTTTTGGATTTTCTGCCCTTGTTATTAAGAGACCTCAACCTTCAAGTACGTAAATGCACTGCAGTGATTGAAAAGCCTATTAAAAGCAGACACTTAATTACATAAAAATTTCTGAATAATAGCAATATAAAACATAGAGTTGCATTCTTTTCAAAATTACAATTATGATAGTTGGCAATTTATTATTTATAACTTCACCAGTGGCTATTGACTGTCTTGTGAATGACATCATTTAGAATATCTGGTCTCTTACAATGAAAAAAATATTCTGAAAACTTTTAAACACCTCAATGACAATTAGTATGCTTCATAATAATTTCTTTCTAAACCACGGAATGTTTCTATTTTATTTTATTATTTTATTAGTGTTTATTTTCAGGTATTGGGAAAATAAGTATTATGTCTCCCAAATTTTAAAATATCTGTATTTTGTGTTTCACATTATAAAGATAAAATGCAAGATGGTAAAAAGAAAAGTTATGTAAGCTGGAAATCATTTAGTATGAAGTTGGAATCTCCTCTATTACCGCACACTCTAGGTGATCTAATAATCACTATTAGATATTTGGCATATATTCTTCCCTGTTAATTTCCTAACATGTCATTATTTTTTAAAGCAGTAGGATTACCCTGTGTATAGTATTCTGCATTGTATGTTTTGTTCATTAAATATATTGTGTATATATATTGCTGTGTCATTACCGCCTTTTAAATTTTCCATTATATATATGCATATAATTTAATTTAAATTTCCTGGTAATACATGTTTTAGTTACATCCATTTTTTTATTGTAAACAAAGCTGCGATGTAAAAGCATGATGTCCAGCTTTCTGTGCACTTCATTAGTCCATTTGCATATAGACTTGAAAATATGTCTGTAGACTTCCTAAAAATAATGTTGGGTTAAAGATATGCATATTACACAATTTATTAAATATTTCTAAACTGTATTGCTAAAAGGCTATAATAATTTATATACTCTTAAAATCTGTGTATGAATATTAGTGTCCCTCCTTTTTCATTTTTGCTAATTTAATAGATAGTTGTAGGTCATTGTCAGTTTTTAATGTATGAAACCTCTGTTTATTAGCTATTTTTATGTTCTTTGTAAAAGCTCATGTCAAACCAACTGTGTGTTTGGAAAAACGCCTTTCAGAACACTTTCTCCTCTGTCCCTCTTCCCCTGGTCCCATTATAAAACATTGAGTATTTTCAACTGAAGAAAGAACACAGAAAGGTAGCTTGCAGCTACATTCCTTACAGTGGCCAATATTTCAGCTCAACTTCCTGAGTATTCACATCTTGATCTGTGATACACTCCTCTTCAGCATGCATCCAGAAAGACTGTTCTTAACTTAGCCCATCTGGCCTTGTCTTTTGCCCTCTGATGTCATTGAAGAAGAACCATAAAATAAACAAACACTCTGGGCTGCAATCAACAAAGCAACCCAAAGTAGTATGGAGAACAACCCAAGATGTTGGAGGTCATATTTATTAGTACATTTTAAGATTTGTGGAATTAATCAAGGTTAACTTTTTTGAAGAGAGGCTCCACCATAATTAAAATAAGTACAATGTTTCAAAGGCAATTGAAAAAAATTACTGGTGTCTGTTTTTATGTGAATTACAGTGACTCCTCACTTTTAACTGGAAATACCAAGACATCAACATTGATTATTGGCATTTGTGGATTGTTTTGTGCTGTCTCTGAGTGGCATCAATTCAGGGACATACTCACCACAACCTTTCCATTGTTAGGTTATGCTCATGATGAATTTTAATTGGCAAGTAAAGCTTGAGGTCTTGAAAAAGGGTGAAACCTTATTATACAGATAACCACAATTAAATTGGCACTCTAGCCAGTTCTGGTTCATATAAATAAAGTTAGTTGAGGTTTTTCTGAATTCATTTTGTCCTCTATATCAATTTTATAAACCATTTCTCTTCAACTGGATGCATGAGCCCATAGGGTTAGACAAAGGGAGCGAAACAGGGAACTAGTGTGGACTACATAGCAAATTGCTAATAGTCAAAAATTTCTATAACTCATAGAAAGAAATTCTTGAATTGCACTTTGAAATGTTATCTCTCTTCTTGTTTAGTCTCACAAAAAAATTGAATAGAAAATTATAAAAATGTTGTTTGTTTTCTCATGAATCCATGTAATTCTCATGAAATTACACAGAGTTAAGAATGAACACATTTAAATACTAAGCAAAATTGTTTTCATAGCCATTTAATATCTTCACCTTCAAAGGAACTTCTTTTTAGGCCTAATTCTTAGTATAAGATATTCTAGACTTCCATTATTTTAGTCATTATTGGTGTAGATATTTACATGAAAATACAACCTTGATTGTTTGTGGAACCATGTTGTTAGCTCTTTACTTTTCATTCATTGTGTCAATCCCTAAAATACTGGGTTTAGCTGCAGTAAACAGATTTATGGATTCAGGTACCCAGTGAGCAGATGAGACAGATGCATTCTAAATCAGCCAAGATCCAATTTTTATGCAAATATTCTCTGAAATAAAAATCTAATTTTTAAACTTTTTTTTTTTTTGGATAAGCAGTACCATGTTTTTCCTGGAAAATGAGATACATTCTATGACTTGAGGTAGTGAAAAATTGTATTTTCTAAATATTATAGGAGAATAATATCTATAAAAGAGCTTTATTACAGAGTAATAAAAACTTTCACTTGTGTATTATTAACCTTGGGACCATTATTTTTAGTCATACTCTGTACATTTATCCCTTTAGTTATTTTGTTACTTATTAAAAATAATTTCAGATATTAAATGTCTGCCATAGTTGTCTACAAAAAAATTTTAATTAATAATATCTAACCTATGGCATTGACTATTTCAATTATCATGAATTGAAATTCCTTATCACGAATAAGGACAATGTCAGATTCATTGCAAATGACATACGGTTCTGAAATCTACGATACTTCCTTAGGTCGTATCATCATTATTTTAATTATTATTATTTTTGAATTGAATTTATACATATTTCCATATTCCCAGGAGCTTGCACTGTATCTGAGAGCAGAATTATAAATTTCATTTTGTCTGCCCTTCAGTCCTCTATGTCTCTCCAGTTTATGAAACTCTACTCTACCACCAACATGAGTAAGGAACAAATATCTTTAAAGTTTTCCACATCTCTTTGACTGGCAGGTGAAGGGAGAAAACAGATCACAAATTCTGTTGCACACTGAGTCCCTGCTGAGCTAGTAGAATTTCATGTCAACAGGAAACTCTGGTCTATGCTTTTATCAGAAAATTGAGTGTAGTAGAAACTTAGAGGTCTACAGACTGTCATTTTCTTCTTCTGAAGAAAGCCCAAGCTGTCATCCAGCCAGTCCAGATGAGCTAGACAAGACCCTATCAGTTATACGTAGTTTTTGCTAGCTTCCCTGGTGTCATTTTAGTTGTTCCTTTGTATGATTTGTTTTTGGAAAGAGACACACTTTTAAAATATTTTTATAGGGCTGAACACAAAATAGCCATTGAATAAATATGGATTATTTAGACAGCCATTTTAAGCACGACTTTCCATCCTTTTTCCTCCCAAATCTCTTAGCACAATTAAAACATTATGAACAAATAGAGCTTTAAATACAGGGTGAACTGGATTACAAACCCCTGTATCTGTCTCTCTCAGACTTCGTCTTGTGACCTTCCTCTCTCCATACCTCATACCACAATCACTAAATAAAACAGGTGGACCAGGCTTTCTGGGATGATAAAAAAAAATGCATTTTTGTTGCCCGCTATTGAAATTATCTCAACTGAACACTATATCTTGGTTGGCAGTTACTTGGAGGAAAGGTGAAATCAAGATTAAAAGCATGAACTGCTTGTGTTTTCTCCATAGCTTAACAGAAAGGGAGCATTAGAGAAGGTAATTGGACACAGTGAGTGGACAATTTCTGGGAAAGAGTCTCAGTAAGGAATAAATATTTGGTGAAAAGTCAGAGCAGTTGCAAAGAAGTGGTTGCTGATAATTGAGTTAATGCATACTGTCAATAGTGACCAAGAATTTGGGTTCTGGCATTAATTGCAC